AATTCTTAAATAAACTAAAAAAGCTATTGACTCAACATTTTGTCTTCGTCTGGTGCGTGACTCGCGGCGCCATCTAACAAATTGTCATATTGAATCAGTTAAGCTTTCGGATCTTTGATTTTTTCTTCGTGGTACTTGCGATTGTCAGAAAAACCCATTCATTATTCTGTTTAAACTTCAATTAAGCGCAATTTAAAAAACAGTCGATTGTTTTGACTCCTCTTAAAACAGTGTAATTCAATTATTATAATACATATTGTCAAAATACTGTTCATTAACTCATAAATGATGTAAAACGTAATTAATTTCAACGAAAAATTTAATTGAAAGAAATACATTTACTATAATCTTTAGTAAGTAGGTACACTGAAAGTCTGAAACCATAACAATAACTCAACACATGAATGAAGACTAAAATAGACAATGCAATTCTCTACAACAGATATGAAACCTGACGCAGAAACGAGGGGAAAATTCAAAAGACGTTCATATTAGCCGACACTAAAAATAAATCTAAACAAACAAAATGTAGAAGGAAAACGTGAAGACAACAATGGGTATGGTGATAAAAATCCAGTAAAATGCTTTGTATTTTGCATTGTTCTTTTATTTATCGAAATCAGATAGCAGACAACCAGCCTGTCATTCTTCATGACGTTTCTTTCCAAAGAGTATTTTCGCAAGTTCCTCGACACTGGCAGTATAGTCGACAACACCGTTTTGGAGATTCGGTTGCCAAAGAAGAAAAAATAAGTTATTTTAAAACTCTATGTAGTCTTTGCTTACCATAATGCAATAAATTTTTGTTTCTACAGTTGATATTTCTCTATCTACTTGCCATTGTTCCTTTGCTATAATGGATTGTAGCTGGACTTATTATTAAAAACTTTCATCAAAGTTCTTGTAAAAATTAAAAACGAATTTTCCAAGTTCAAGATAACAATAGTTTCGTCTTGTACAGTATACTGACAATAATAACTTACATCACTACAAAGTATAAAACAAAGTCGCTATCCGCCGTCAGTGTGTCGAGATCTATGTATGCTTAGATCTTAGATGCTTGTATGCTTAGATCTTGAAAACTACGCAACGGATTTTGATGCGGTTTTTTAAATAGATAGAGTTATTCTTAAGGAAAGTTTATATGTATAATACATGCATATTACACCCGTGTGAAGCCGGGGCGGGTCGCTAATATTGTATAAACTAGTTTAATTGGTGTGTGAAAGAGGAAGAACGTAATGTTTGAGAGTTAATCAGGTAGAAGGTATATTGACTTTCTGGCGAGTAATGAATTCGATATCTATCAGTAATAAAATTATAATTGCCGTAGAATATCCTAATGTAGATTAAAATCATTATATTGATTCTGAAATAGTCACTATTAAATTTAATTTATGTGAGTACATATATTCAAAACTGCCTCATTATAAATTAATACCTAATATAAAACGGAGTTCTCATGATCTTATAAAGTGTTATAATTGATGAAAGGAACTTAAAGAAGTTAACTTAGGTAATTTATTTATATACATATATAAAAATGAATCCCGTTTTCCCTTGGTCACGCGTGAATGACTAGACCGATTTCACTAATTCTTTTTTTGTCGTATTTGTTTTATTAGGAGAAGTTTCTTAAGACAGAAAATATCCTGAAAATCCTAGGGGAACGGGAGAAAATGGGACTTCGCGTACGAAGTCGCGGGCAGAAGCTAGTAAATTATATTACACTATAATGGTTAGAGGCCTTAGTACGAGTTTGTTTTACGTTTAAAGTAATCGTAACGAGTACGCGTTCGGCGCAGTGATTGGTTGCTTCATTGGCGCCGGCCAATCAGAGTGCCGAACGCATACTCGTTTCGAATACTTTAAACGTAAATCAAACTCATACTAAGGCCACAGCAAAATGTCTTCATACTTCCAAGTTCCCTTAACACTAAGTGAGTCCATTTTTTGTCATTTTATAAAGTATCAGTTATTGAAATCTTTTATACTTTTTTGTAGACATCTTTTCGTCATCACAATGGAATTTATATTTGTATAGCGAAACGTTAACATTTTTTTCATCGATATCTCGATAACGGTACGATACTGACTATTTTTAGATACATTGACACTTTTTTGAATTGACATTAAAGAAAACATACTTAGATCTATCCGTGTTTTTTTTAAGGGGGGAATATCATCGATTGATTTCTCCCGCCCGGGTGAGGCGGGAGGGAGTGTCAGACTCCTACTGACTAAAAACCACCCCGTTCCTACTCTTGCACATTGAGCCGGAGCCCTGGTAACCCGTTAGGTTCTCCGCGGCATCTATCCGTGTTAGGAATCTAATAGACAACTCAGTTTTTAGCATACAGTTATAGATTTCGTTAGTTTTATTGGCTTGACTCTTGACAGACCACAGACTACATAACGTATCTAATTATGTATAGATATAGTTAAATAATAACAGGTAAAAACTAAATAAAAAGCCATATGCCGATTTCCAAACAGATTTACATGTTAAGTGATAACACATACAGAAGATTATTCCTGATCTAAATAACTGTTATTATATAAAGCTGTACAGTTTGTTAGCTTTGGATAGTCTAGTTATCGGCTATAAAACCACTCGCTAAGACACTAGGGAACCGAGCACGCAAGTGAAATTGTGTAAGGTGCAAGAAAAGTGTTAATTTTTGTAATAAAGTTAATTAATTCCAAACAGTTCGAGACAGTTTTTATGCAGAATAAAATTTTAGCGAACCAGCGTCACAGCTTTAATTTAAATGTCTAATTCTAAGTCGTGAACGTTCTAAATAATAATGTTCGTAAACGTCGATAACAGTCACAATCGCGGTATAAAAGAAATAGGTAATGAATGTTTAATTTAATGATTTATTGGGCTATTAAACACTGTCCGTAAACAATGTGCCAAGCTATGTCTAGGTACAGACTACAGTGCGTACCTACCTTGTTAGTTAAACGCAACCCTTAGTTCTTTATTGGTACTGGTTTCTGTTTACATAGACTTATAATCTGTATTAATTTATCTACTAGATAGGCTATTTTGTTGACATTATCAACAACATCGTCACGTACATTGAAAATTGTTTCAAAGCATTCAATAACATAAGTTGTAATTCGCACTATAACTTTTAAACTTGACTGATCACCTTATTAAAATTCATAAGCATAACATGATAGCTTTCATACATAAACTACTCACGGACCCGACATCAAAGCTTCGAACCAGTCATTATCGAAAATGCGTGTGAAATTATTTTCTAATTACGGAGCACGCGCGACTTTTTAAATTAGTGTTGTGCCAAAGGGTCCGGGGCTTTTGAGCATTAAACCTGGTCCAGCCGAGCGGCCGATAAGATCTCCGTCTCTTCGCAAACGTGGGGGGACGGCTCTAAAATTAATATTTCATTATTCGCGATTATTACAGGGCAACATGTATTACGGCGCTAGTTAGTAAATCAAGTGGACGCGTAATTATTGCCAGTGCACTTTGATAAATGGAAGTCAGCCCGTCTGCGCCTTGCTAGCCGTCCTACCAGATACTTTTAATACGAAATTGATTAGCATTGCATGTAATAGGTACTCCTCGTTTACTTTATTTTAACTCGTGGGGTTAATGAATATTTAGTCTCTTATTTCTATGGCATTGTGATGATTAAAGGCCGATTTTTCAGTCATCAGTTAATTCTTAACTGTAGAACAAAGTTTTGTCAGTTTTTAGTATGGGAGAATTGGGTAGTTTCCTAGGTCAAAAATAAATTATTTTGATTTTTCAGTCCAATTGAATATTAAAAAATAGTTACCCTTTATTCATTGATTTGCTAATATACTTAATTTTCGAATTATTCTAGCTTTTTTTTTTAGATATGAGTGTGCTATTTGACGCGAAAATATGATGACGTCATAAGATGGTATTTCGTACGAAATTCATAGAACAGTATCGTTTTTGACGTTTCAATGAAAGTATTGAATTTGACTAGTTGTCAACTACCGTATTGTCATAATTATGTTATTCCTCAGTTGAGATTTACCTGGCGTTGGAAGAATCGGCCCTAAGTACATCAACTAATACTGTGTATTGTTCTATAGAGTGGGTAGCACATTGGTCTCCCCAGTAAGCATTTCATTTTAAGCCAAGTTATTAATTCTTAGTAAGACTTAAATTTTGAATAGAGCAAATGTCAATATGTATTTAAAATACCTAAGTATGACTTTAAGTACCTGATAACTGTCTGAAATACAGCCTACAAATAGAACGTCGGCTATAGTATATTGAGAACAAAGTGAGTGTATCCGCATCCATTCTACAGTACCATAGTAAGTTAATAGTAAACAGATAACACTTTAAACGATGCTCACTCAATCATACGGCGAACATTTTATGTCGGTTACGTTAATTGCAATTTATATTGGTTTCCATTAAATTGTCTTTAGTTTTCTGCAGTTTTACGACAGACAGCGTATAAACGGCATCTCCTGTTGCATTCTATATAGTAAGTATGTTCATTACCCACCTCACCGATTTCTTACAATAATAAAGCGCTCTGCCTCAATATTAAACACCGACTGTTTATTACGAACTCATCGTAGCCATTTTTATCTGCGTGTGAAATCACTGGCATTCCATTGTTTTTGCACAGGGTAGCCGAACCATTTCGTTTCAGATTAGAAGTCTTTCACATTGCCAGTCACTTACTCGCAAAAACTTAATAACATAAAGGCATCCCTTATGTTGACATGAAATTCATAAAAATCGAATGTTTGCCTCATACTTAAACACTGATCACTTGACTCGTCTTCCAACAAAACATGTATAACGAACGCAATGTAAAGGAGCTCTTTATCCTCGTTCAGCACAGTAATTAACACATGCATAAATATCGAAGCTTGCAGAAACTTTTTTAACTTGGACGGCAGAGTGCGATAACTTCCAATAACCCTCGGTCAAGGGTACGAATTATCATAAATCGCGTAATAACAGGGTAACTCACCGTACGAAGTTCCGCATCGTCGCTGTTGCTGCACGTCAATAATAATAGCACTAGGATATTTTTTACTGAATTTCAAGTTTCAACACTCGTGCGTATCGCGAGGCGGCCGTGAACCGCGAGTGACGTCGGCGTGCGCTCCGTACGAAAGCTGCGGCGATTCTGGCCGTTGTTGAGTCGCGTGCCTGCTCTTGAACTTGTGACTTGACAGCAGGTTGCATTGCTTTGCACACCGGTGCATTTTGGACAATGGACTCACTCACCTCTGTCGTCTGTAGCGCCACCCTCCTGACATCTGTCACTCAGTTCCTCACTGGGGGGCGAATGCTGATGTTCACTCAAGAGATGAAGGCGTGTGCAAAATTTGAACGATTTGGTGCCGCCGTACCGCGGACCGTAGTACTGTGTTTTTTTTTTTTTTATGGAATAGGAGGCAAACGAGCAGACGGATCACCTGATGGTAAGCGATCAGCGCCGCCCATGGACACCCGCAACACCAGAAGAGTCACAGGTGCGTTGCCGGCCCTTTAAAAAGGAGTACGCTCTTCTCTTGAAGGTTTGAAGGTCGTATCGGTTCGGAAATACCGCCGATGACAGATCATTCCACAGTTTTGCTGTGCGAGGCAGGAAACTACGTGAGAACCGCACAGTTGTGGCCTGCCAACCATCTATATGATTATTAATTATATTGTAATTATAGTGTAATTAAAGGATCGGAATAATTACAGGACAAACAGTTAAATCATGTGTGAAATGAAATAGCTTAACCTAATTAAGATATACCTCAGCAGCTGTCTGAATGTGCGTTCCGTTATAGCATGGTTACATTAATTTACATCAGTGGACGTATCTCGTATGTCGTAAGCTGCACGCACATCATCATCATTGTTTTGTAGACCTGAATTGTTTTGACCACGAAATATGATTATGAATCTCACAATCTACACAAAATGTATATTAAATATGGAGATACAGCTATTCAACATTGTAGATTTTTTGTTTTATTTTCTATACGATAACTAATAGAGTTTCTTGCTAACGAATGGAGTTTCTTGCTTGTTCTACTGCATTCGAATCTACATTTTGGAATGAGCACCTAGCTTCACCTAGCTTCACTTTAATTGAAATAAATGCTTTGACTTTGACTTTGACTTTAAACTTAACTGTTCGAAGATATGGGCGATATTGTCTTATTCTGATTTTTGTCAGATATTCAACCTTGTTTCACCTAGGAAATAACTATATTTTATTTATAAGTTAAGCATTAACTTAAATTCAGATACCAAAAGTAGGTACCCACCATTATTGGCACGTAAATTCTTTTTTACATAATAGGTAACCTGCCTAGACATCTAGGTATCTGCTTCATAAAAATTAATGAACAGTGTTAGTCATAATAATACTTAAATAGAAATAAAATCGTTAACCGAAACAATAAAAACTCAAGCAGCCGGTGTCATTAGGGCGTTACAGCAATTTATCCGAATTATACCAAATTAGATGTGCTCATGAATAGTAATAGCAGCTTTTATAGCAAACGTTATTATTACACTATTATAAGTGCATTAACACAAATTCTTGTAACTTTTACGAACGTCCATTTAACAGGGAAAGTGCACGTTTACTTTTATTTTCAAAATCACGTTCACTGCAGTAACTCGATCTGTGTGAAATAATTAAACAAATTGCACCTGGCTCATGAAAATTCATGATATACTTTACACTTTATAGTGTTGTGCAACAAATTAAAACACTAATTGGAGTAATGAGGAAGTATTTACTTGGAACAGATAAGTGAAATCTGTGGATGTCTGTCAGTCTTGTAAGTAGCGTCCATTTACATCGCATCGCTAGTCGCTAGTCCGCAAATACAAGATTACATGTTCCATCTTACATTCACCTTACTAGTTCTGATTATTTCTTCTCTAAATATAAATATGGTCGAGTTTCTTTCCCGCCAGTGCAGTGTTAAAAAGAGGTTTTTAAAATGAGAATTTGTTTGTATATATATTTATGTTATGTTTTAATGTACTTTGAATTTATTATTATTAATCTACTTACTAATAAATTCTCGTTATTCAGTACCTACCTAACTTTACATGTAATATCATATCGATGCCATCAACATGTTAAGATGATTGCAGCCTTTGCAGCTGGGGCGTACGTTTCCCCACGTGAGTTACCGCGAAATTATTATTTTCGAATGAAATATTTATAAGAGGATAAACAACGACAATTCAAAAGTATTAAGGATGCCTCTTGGTCAATAAAAGTAATGGAGGTTCCGACAACTTGCACCTCAAGTAACGGAGTTAATTTTCGAAGAAGAAATTGGACCCTGTTAAGCAGAAAAGATCCAGCCAACATTTTATTACTTTTGAGTAAATGCAGTTTAAAGTTAGTCAGATAATAAAAAAATCGTATGATACAGTACCTCTTTGAAATTTAGTAGTGTAATAGGCCATGACATATACATTATTTTGAAAGCAATGTATAGTGTATTTTTATACGAAGAGTATTTATTATTCCTGAAAAACTATGCGTGGATCTTTTACGCAAAATACAATATTACAAATTAAGTATCAGTTTAATGTGTGGTTCATTTTAGAAGGAGACGGAAATTAATATATGTACTAATATAATAACAGTTTAATGACTAAAAATAATACAAATTGACATTAAATTTGAGGTAATTTAAATATAATAAAACAACGAATCGACAATCACTGGTTGGTATTCCAACTTATTTAAGTAGCATCGCTTTCCTCAGCTTCATACTCTATCTCAAAATCAGGTTCAGCACCAAACCCATCAATATCGTCTTCTACATTATTGTCACCTCTCAGATTTTTGTAGAATGTGTGAGCATCACGTGGAATCAAATGCATAAGGCTTTTAATATCGCTCAATTTCGCAGCTGCTATAGGTTTACCATTTGGCCAAAGCAAATTCATCATATCTCTGGAAATGAAGGGTTGTCTTCCACGTTGCCGTTTTTTCAGATCAACTTCTTCATAATCATCCTCTAAATTTTTTCGCATAAATAACGAAAACATTGCTTCTTTTTTTAATAAAATTTCTTTGGTTTTAAGCCAAGAAATTTTTTCGCCAGTAATAGATGTTTTTCTATTAGTGATTGCTTTTTCAAGATTAGCTGATCCAAGAAAATCTTTGACTTCCATTCTGTGCACTTGAAGAGGTTTATTTTTTTTTGCAAGTACTCATTGTGTTCATATAATCTTCAGGTAGGTAAACTCTTTGTTGGTATTTCAGAGCACATTCTATTTTCCCGAAATCAGTGTCATTGGGCAAGAAACTGTGTCCAGACTCTAAAAATCTAATAAAAATTTGCTGTAATGTTGGGTGATCGTTCAAAAAAGCTTTAAGCATAAGTGTGAGCTTAATATTTCTATTTTGCCCGCCACAAGAATCGCTCCACAAAATAAGATTAGTCACTCCTTCTTTCAATCTTTCCGACAGGTGCTTAATAAGACAAGAACCTACTTCTTGGGAGCCTCTCCCAGCTTCACCTTCTACCCAAATGTTACAGTGCCCTTGATCATCTGATCCCGTATGTATGCCCATATTGTACATCCATAACTGTCTCTTATAAAATACAATATTCGTAGGAATGCGTGGAAGTGGCAACGTTTTTTCTAAATCGTATGTAATTGTTTCTGTGTAGGGATCAGTTTTTGCGAGAGCCATGTCATTTTTCAGTCGTTTTTTAAGATCTTCTGCAGTTTTAAGATGGGCATTATGTTCTTCTATAATCTTTTTCTTTGCTTCTTCATCTGTTATCAAATTCTTTTTATTTTCGTAAAAGTCGCATTTGTTACAAGTATCCTTATTTAGGGGTTTGGTGCGAAGATTAAATTTGGTTAAGAAAATTTGTTTTACTTTTGGATATGATAAGACATTAATGCCAGTTGAATGTGCTTCTTCAGTGTAGATCTGGTAAATTTTCATAAATGTCATATCTGATCTTAAGAATTTCGCGTTTCCTACTTTCTCACGACAGTAATGCGAAATGTACGTAGGGAGCTTTTTAACAATACTTATGAAAAATTGTTCGCTTTCCTCACTAATTTTATTGCGACCTCCATTTATTCCACGTTTATCCGAAATGGAATCCGATCTCATCTTTTTAAGTGCTGTATCAATCCTTTTTGGAGTTGTGTGTATGGTTTTTACAAACATCTCCCTGCATACTAAAATACCTTTCAGGAAATACTGTCGTGAAAATGACCTATTCTTGGAGCTGTTTTGTGATTGTGATACGTATCGTCGTTTCACTGGAATTTCTTTAACATTAGCTACTATGAACATATTTTGAGCATGATACGAGCCTAATTCATAGAATTTCTCAAATTCAGTTTGCCGGTCTTGAAATGAAATCTTTTCACTACATTTTTTTACACAGTTACAGTTAAAATCAATAAAAATCTTAGGGCTTACTTCTTTTTTCTTATAATTAACGTAAGATAAGTTTTTATACTTTCTTTGTTTCCTTTCTTCTCTAGTCATTTGGCCAAATTTTCTTTTCCTTCCTTTTGAAGGCCTGCCTTGTATTCCTTCATTCATAGGTATTTCTTTTTCCAGTGGCATAGGTTCTTCACCAATAGCAGTTACCTGGTCCAAATCTACTCTACTACTCGTCTGCGGCTGTCCATCGTCATGAAAACCGGTTGATATTACATTTTTTGTTTTGACACTAGAAGATTCACCGTGGATAGTTACTTGTGTCGTAATTATGGACGCTGATTTGTTCGAGCTATCGTCACTAGAATATGCTTCAGCGAAACCATCAATTACATAGTTAGGGTCTTGCACGGAATCATCACTGTCAAAATCTTCACATCCTTCTAAGACATTTAATAGTTCTCTAGTTTTTGGAGACATTTGAGGCATTGGTGACGGCAGAGGTAATGATGGAATAGCAATTGGAGTTAACGGAGAAAAAGCGGGGGCTTCAATGCTCATCTCCCCGGCCATAAGCGGTGTTGTAGAAGGAACCTCCACCACAGCATTATTACCATCACCACAGTTAATTGTATTCATGAACGGTGTTATGGGCGAATACGGCGGAGCTTCTATGCTCTGGTCACCAACTCCATAGCTGCCCACACTAGACATATCTGTAGCCGAAAGCGGTTTGT